TTTCCTCATCAGGAAGTGAAGTCTTTGGCAAGGATGTGGAGAAAAGGGAACCTTCGTGTGCTATTGGTGGGAATGCAAACTGGTGCAGCCACTGTAGAAGACAGTAGGGAGGTTCCTCAAAAACTTAAAAATAGAGGGCGCCTGAATGGCTCAGTTGTTAAGTGTCTGCCTTCGGCTCAGGTCATGATCCCAGGGTCCTGGGATCGAGTCCCGCATCGGGCTCCCTGCTTGGCGGGAAGCCTGCTCTCCCTCTCCCACTCCCCCTGCTTGTGTTCCCTCTCTCTCTCTGTCTCTCGCTGTCAAATAAATAAATAAAATCTTTAAAAAAAAAAAAAAAAGAAAATAGAGGGGCGTGTGGTGGGCTCATTCAGTACAGCATGCAGCTCTTGATCTTGGGGTTGTGAGTTTGGGCCCCACGCTGGGTGCAGAGCTAACTTAAAAATAAAATCTTTAAAAAAAATCAAAAATAGAAGTACCACATGATCCAACAACTCTACTTCTGGGTATTTACCTGAAGAAAACGGAAACACTGACTCAAGAAGATACATGCACCCCCATGTTCACTGCAGCGTTATTTACAATAGCCAAGATATAGAAACAACCTAAGTGTCCATCAACGATGAATGGATAAAGAAAATGTGGTACGTATATACACAATGGAGTATTATTAAGTCATAAAAAAGTCATTTGTGACAACATGGATGGATCCTTGAGGACACTACACTAAGTGAAATTAATAAGACAAAGACGAATATCATATGATCTTACCTATATGTGGAATCTCTAAAAAGAAACAAAAAACAAACAAACAAACCAAGCTAATAAGTATAGAGAACAACAGTTAGGTGGTTGGCCAGAGACAGAGGTGGGGGGAGGTAGGCAACATGGGTGAAGCGAGTCAAAAGGTACAAACTTTCAGTTATAAGGTAAGTAAGTCAGAAAAAAAATAAGTATGTCATGAAGATGTAATGTTCAGCATGGCAACTATAGTTAATAACACTGTATTGCATATTTGAAACTAAGAGGTTAAATCTTCAAAGTTCTCATCACAACAACAAAATTCTGTAACTATGTGTGATGAGGGACATTAATCAGATTTACTAGATTTACTTAATCATTTTGCAATATATACAAATATCAAATCATTACATTATATACCTAAGACTAATATAATGCTATATGTCTATTATACCTTAATTAAAAAAAAAACAAACCAGTGAAGTCTATTTCTCTACCACTGAATCTGGGCTGGTCTTGTGTTAGAGGCGAGACTCTAGGAGTTCCAGAGCCTAGCCTTGGGAGGCCTTGCACCCTCTACCTTTGCCCTCTTGGCAGCCTTTCATGAGCTTTCCTGAGGCTGCCATGCTATGAAGAAGCTGACCTACTGCACTGGAGGATGAGAGGTGCCCCAGACAACAGCCAACACCAACTTTCAGACATGAGAACAAAACCACCTTGGCACTTCAAGCCCAGCCAACTCTCCAGCTCGCTGAGTACCGCATGAGCAAGCCCAGGCCAAACCAGCAGAGATCCGCCCAGCCAACCCACAAAATTATGAGAAAATAAATCATTGTTTTAAGCAACTAAACTGTAGAGTGGTTTATTATGAGCAATAAATAACTGGTACCATTGGGTATTAAATGAAATGAAAGTTTATTAACCAGGAAAGGCAGACATCATTAACTGAAAAAAAAAAACACTGGTTACAAACTGTAGGTACAAGACAACCTCATTTGATAAAACATTACATGCAGGCAGACACATGAACTAAAAGATCCAGAAGGATATATATTAAGTAATAACCAATTGCTACATAATGAGGTAAACTCTGGGTAGTGAAAATGTTTTTGTTTTTGCTTTTCCATATTTTGCATATATGTGCTTTTGTAGTAATAAATAGTTTTAAAAAATATCTTTTTTAAAAAGATCTATAATGTTTACTTATTCTTCAGACAAAAAGGTCAGCTGGGTCCCTGAAGAGCTCCACATGAAAATTCTTGCTATTAACCTCAAATAGTACACAAAACTGGATAAAGTCAGTTAATCAATAAACTTTAGGGATAGTTATGGGCTGAATTGTGCCCCCACCCCGGCCCCAAATTAATATATTGAAGCCCTAACCCCCAGTACCTCAGAATGTGACTGTATATGAAGACTGGGTCTTTAAAGGTAATTAAGTTACTTTTATAAAATGAGGTCATCAGGGTGGGCCCTAATCCAGTCTGACTGGTATCCTTCTTAGAGGATGACTGAACTCAAAAAGCCCCACCGGGGTGTGATGCACAGAGGGAGGGCCATGTGAAGAGGCAGCAAGAGGGAGGCCATGTGCCAGCCAGGGAGAGAGGCCTGGAGCATGTACTTCCTTATGGCCCTCAGAGGACACCAACACTGCCGGCCCCTCAATCGGGGCCTTCCAGCCACCAGAACCGTGAGGAAATAAATGTTGTTTCAGCCCCCAGTGTGTGGTATTTTGTTATGGCAAAATAAGGGCTACGCGTACAGCACGGTGTTTGGAAAACTGACCTACTGCGCATCCTAAGCACTGCAAACAGAACCATAAAGAGAGTTCATAATAAAGTCTTGTTCTAAGATTCTGAAAAGTTTTGTCTTGAAAGTCAAATAACAACTATAAACACGCACAAAGAGAAATTATGTTAAATATATCTATGCAGAGATAAAGCAGAGGGCATGCTTTCCAAATGCACTGCTTCACTCATGAGGGAGCCGAGGTGCTATTCTAGTCCACATTCTACTCTTGAGCTGGTGTGAGAAACCAGTTTTCCTGTTTTGTTCTGCATTTGTTTATTTATGGGCCACCAACAAAGAGCAAAATTAATGGAGAACCAACAGCTAAAAAGCAACCCTACTAAACATTATTGTTTTTTTAATCCAATACAAAATATTCCATTCCTCTACTTTGAAATTAAAAACATGGTTTACAAAAACTACACTATTTACAATAAGCAGTAAAAACAAACAAAAAAAGATTGAGTACAGTTATGATGAGAGAATTTGAAGAAGAGCGAGGAGAGGGCATGAGAAGAGCTGCCATGTGATGGGGTGGTCTAGGAGGATGCGTTCTTGTTACTTCTGGCTTATATCCCACTTGTATGATCTTAGGCACATGATTTAACTTTTATGAGCTGGTTCACTGTAAAGGGAGAAGCTTAAACAAGGTAATTATTCCTCAACCAGTCTTTATGGACTTGCTAAAGCTTCCCTGGAAATTCTTATAGGGCAGGGACAGAAATAAACTGGTAGGGCTTGGTGCCCTTGAGCTTAGATTCAGGTAGTGGTATTCATTTCTGTTTGTTTTCCATTTGAACGTTTGTTTTCACTTGGGGTAAGAGTTCTGCTGCTGGAATAGTTGAAACCATTGTATCAAAATGCTCTGTCCCCTGACAACTAGGTAAAAATACTCCAGGAATACATATTTAAGAATGAGTAAATAGGGCGCCTGGGTGGCTCAGTTGGTTAAGCGACTGCCTTCGGCTCAGGTCATGATCCTGGAGTCCCTGGATCGAATCCCGCAACGGGCTCCCTGCTCGGCAGGGAGTCTGCTTCTCCCTCTGACCCTCTTGACCCTCCCCCCTCTCATGCTCTCTCTCTCTCAAATAAATAAATAAAATCTTTAAAAAAAAAAAAGAATGAGTAAATAACATAGCTGAGCAGATACACATAGGAGGCAGAAAGAAGAGCCAAATGATACTGACTTGTAGGAACATCAGGCAGACGATGACATTAATGGGGACTGTGACAGAGCAGGGGAGGGTGTGGCCTCTCTATATAAGAGATTTAGGATTGTTAGTTGATGCTAAGCATTGCAAACTGAGCCTGAAGTGTAACTTCATGACTCAAAAAGTGAATGCAATTTTAGGCATCATTAACAAAAGTATAATTTCCAAAATGCACTCAACAAATTACCCCATATATTTAAGAACCTGTTTGTACTACCAGTAATCAAAGAATATAGGCAGCACTGTTTGGCAGGTTTGAAGTGAGTCAGACCTAAGTTCCAACCTGCATTCTCAAGTTTACACATGCCGTGTAACTTCAGGAAATACAGCTTCTAGAACCTTCAACATCACTAATGGGGGACTGGACCAGCACTGCTGTAAGGGTTAGTGATCACCAGGGATAATACTCAGCATAGTGCTGGTGTACGATAGGCACTCAAGAAATAGCTAATGCCTACAGAGCGCTGTGTGAAATTCTAGCTCATCTAATCCTCAGAACGGTTCGATAACCAGAAGACGGTAATAGGTAAATGCAAATTATCACAAGAATGGGACTAAAACTGTAACAAATGAAACAGTCAATGATGACAGACTGCAATATTAGCAGTACTACCATTTACTATTAGTAGGAACAGAAAATGGTGCAACTCTTCTGCAAAGCAATCAGACAACACGTAACAGAGGACGTTTTCAAAGTTCATATATGATGGTCCAACTCTATTTGGGAAAGGAAAGGATTCAGAAAGTGCCTATGGGTAGAAATGGGAGTGATCTGTTGACTGACTGGTGGGCATCTCCTTTATGTGCATGCTTATCACCAGAAAAGCAAAGCATCTCCAAGAATAGAAGACCTTCTTTTTTATTTTTGCCAGTTAGTGATTTCCATAAATATCCCTTTGTCCACCCAAACCTGGATGTTCCTGAGAACTCCTAAAGCAGAAACTGTGGCCCACTTCCCCATTCAGCTGCTCACATTTAAGTGGAAGCACACTGCCCAGGGAAGCAGACACTCCTAATGACCCCAGTATTTCTTAAGATTAATAAAGGAATGTGGAATAGAAGAATATAAATTCCTTCAGGTTGGGCGGTCCCAAATCCAGAGCAGTTCAGGGTGTGCCAGGAATTGCCACCACAAAGAGAAGAATGAAGGTCAAAACATTTCATTTCTTCTAAGTCTGCAGTATGTTGCCCTTTGAGTTCATTGCAACTCAAGACCCAAGAGAAAGTGTTCTTGTTAGAAGTCTACCAACGATGGACACTTACCTAAAATGAGATGAAGTTTGGTTTCTGTCTGGAAAGCATAGTGCAAGGTCACCAAGAACGGTGACTGCCTGATGTGCTCCAGGACTTGCCGCTCCGTCCTTGTGTGCTCTGTGGTTTTGGCCTTTTGCACTATTGTGGCCTTTTTCAAGACTTTCATGGCGTACAGCTTGCCAGCGTCGTGACCGCTGATTTTACGAACCAGAAATACTTTTCCATAAGCTGAAAATGAGAAGAAAAAATAAAAACAATTAAAATACCCCACATAATGGCAATTCATTGGAAGTTGCAAGTTACAACACACAACAAACAAACATTCTTTGTTGTTCATTGCTGTTCCAAACAGTTCTTTCATGGGGGCGCCTGGGTGGCTCAGTCGGTTAAGCGTCTGCCTTCGGCTCAGGTCATGATCCTGGAGTCCCGGGATCGAGTCCCGCATCGGGCTCCCTACTTGGCGGGGAGTCTGCTTCTCCCTCTGACCCTCCCCCCTCTCATGTGCTCTCTCTCATTCTCTCTCTCTCAAATAAATAAATAAAATCTTTAAAGGGCACCTGGGTGGCTCAGTCGGTTAAGCGTCTGCCTTCGGCTCAGGTCATGATCCCAGGGTCCTGGGATGGGGCTCCATGCCGGGCTCCTGCTTCGCCCTCTTTGTCCCCCCACCCAGCTCGTGCTCTCTCTCTCTCAAATAAATAAAATCTTTAAAAATTAGTTCTTTCATACATTTCTTCAATTGTATGCCAAGTATATTTCTAGGTCTAAACCTTGGTATTTACATATCCAACCACTGCTGACAAAGTTATATTTTACTGGCATTTTCTCAATATTTTTAGCTGTAGGAAACTAGCTGTTATTATGGTCAATTAACCACAATCCAATTCTGGAACAACTGGGACATTTCAGACATCAGATAAGATCTCCAGGTGTTGCTGCTGATGTAAACAAATGAAAAGTTGTTTTTTGGTTTTTTTTTTTAAGATTTTATTTATTTATTTGAGAGAGAGAGAATGAGAGACAGATAGCAAGAGAGGGAAGAGGGTCAGAGGGAGAAGCAGACCCCCGGCTGAGCAGGGAGCCCGATGCGGGACTCGATCCCGGGACTCCAGATCATGACCCGAGCCGAAGGCAGTCGTCTAACCAACTGAGCCACCCAGGCGCCCTGAAAACAGTTCTTAATAAGAATCTCATACATTTAAATCAAGCACCTCAAGTATCCCTCTATACTTACTGAAAAATCTAAAGGAACAGAAGCTGACATTTAAAAACAAAAGAGATCTTCAGATTTAAAAAAACATTAGAATGCCCTAAATTGTCAGCAATCCTGACAGAAGCCCCTTTACACCTCCAGGCAGTAAGTCATGGCTCAGTGGGTCAGCCTCGCCAAATCTTCCCTGAGGGCTCAGCTGGGCCCATCCTGTTAGTGTAGCGCCACTCCCCCAAGTGGGGGCACTGGAAGGAGCACGGTGCACCTTGGGCAGAGCAGGTACAGCAGGTATCTGCATCAATTTCCTTAGAGAAAGGGGGAGAGGGCGGGAAGGGGTACAAAGAGGAGGGTGGAGGAAAGGCAGAAACACCACTGTGACAGGGAAGGGGTAGGTCCCCAATTCATCTCTACAGTGTGTAAATTCTCTTCCCTTTTAAAACACCTCCTGGGATGGGTAACCCAGTCCCACTTTTGAAGTTCAAGACTTTAGTCAGACCATTCTGGAGCCAGTCTGAGTTCTGACCCAGACCAGTGCTTCCCTGCCCTCTGCCCACACCTTCACCGTACTGAGCACATAATTCTGTTCGGATAAACTCACTAGTGTGAGAGAGCTTTAAGCTTTAAGCTTGTACCCTCTGTGTTATTCAGGTCAGTCCTTCGGGAAGTAAATTAGTACCAACAGATGATATACACAGACATACGGATCAGTGAAAGGCTGCGATACTCCTGAGGAGGAGGAAAACCAACACTTCCTAAGGAACTTGTCTATGCCAGGCTCTGTGCTAAACATATTCCACATATTGGTTCACTTAATCCTCAGAACAGCCAATGAAGGTGGTACTTTCAGTAATTCCATTTCACAGATGAGGAAATGGGTTCAAGGAACGTAAGGAACCAGCCAAAAGACTTGGGTAAGAAGTGGCAGAACTGATTCAAGCTTCAGGGAACCACATTTTCTACCGAAAATGAATTTTAAAAAACGATTCTTCACAAATACTAGAAATCGGATGCTCTGGGTTTTAGTAAAATCACTACCATAAATAAACTGAACACATTCTGGAATACAGAGAAAGTTCACAAAAGGTTTGTGTCTTATCTCATTGCAAATAAAGTATAGACTGAGATTTTAGTGAGGTAAAAGTGAACCAAAAGAAGAAAATGACAACTTTCAGAACCTAACAAATTAACCTGAAGTATAAAAATGAAAAAAGCTAATCTATTCAGAAGCACTGAAAAGAAGCTAGAAAATATTCTAATGAAATGTGCTGTATCGTCCACAGAGTCAGCCATGACATAAACTTGGGAGAAAATGAAGTCCTCTACAAGTACGGGGCTTTTGTGTTCCCTACACACACACAGCACCTGCCCTGAATTCCTGTTCTCTGAGATTCCCAGCTCCAGAATGTTCCTTAGAAATTATGTTACCCATACAAGCTCTCCAACAAAGAAAATCTTCCATCATCGCTGGAAGATGGCTGTTCGGCTTATTCGTAGCTAGTCTTGCAGCGTAAGTGTTGACCCATGCAGGGTGTTAGCACTGGACATCTGAGTACTTGTCAGGTGCTTTGGAGGTACATTAGCTCATTCCATTCTTATAGAATCCCTGTAAGTAGATGAGGAGGACTACCTCCATTTCACAGATGGAGAAACTGAAGCATAGAACATACTTGCCCACGGGCGCCTGGGTGGCTCAGTCGTTAAGCGTCTGCCTTCAGCTCAGGTCATGATCCCAGGGTCCTGGGATCGAGTCCCACTTCGGGCTCCCTGCTCGGCAGGAAGCCTGCTTCTCCCTCTCCCACTCCCCCTGCTTGTGTTCCTGCTCTCGCTATCTCTCTCTCTGTCAAATAAATAAATAAAAATCTTAAAAAAAAAAAAAAAAAGAACATACTTGCCCACTTAGCCCTGTGCCCACACTCTGAGCTATGCTCCATCTGCCTCCCTTCAGTGAATGACTTCACAGGCAAATAAAGGAGTCAGACATTAAGCAGAAGTGATAACTGGTGTTTTATTGGTGGAATGGACACAGTGCTATTAACTTCTAAGAGGAGAAAGTCTTACAAAGTGGCCCATTTTATTGATGGAGAGGGGAGATGGAAATATTAGAAAATGTTCCCTATATTGAGTGGAAACAAGCCTTTTTTAATAATATTTATCTGTTGGTCCTTCTACACCCTCTGGACTTACAAAAAAGAATATTACCCTTCTTCTATAATTTTTTTTTTAATATTTAAAAACACTATCATGCCATCTCACCTACGCAGAATGTCCTTATTCCTCAAACCGATCTTAAAGTAAATGATTTTGAGACTTCTCACCACTAGGAGGTTCCACTGATGTGCTCTGTGAGTTATAAACACTTTTTCTTTGATTTCTTTCCTGTTACTTTCAAAATATGTCATATTACGCTCTCCACATAAATATGAGATAGCATAGGATGATAATGGATGTGTCAAATAATATAAAATCATCCTAGTGCTACATTATAAACTATTTGTCAAATAAATAAACAGTCATCTTCTTTGCCATGTGATGATATCCAGAAGCTTGCCAATAACATAAGCTAAAGTCTACATATATCCTGCCAATACAATTACTTTCTCATCTATCAAAAAATGTCAGGGGAAAAAGTGTGATAAAGCTTACAAATCTTGTTTTTACTTTTGTAATTGCCAGGATTAACTAAAGCTACAGTCAGTACTTTTATCACTTAGTAAGTGCCAAAGATGCTTTTGTCAACAACATTTGAGAAGGGCCTTGTAACATTCCAAATAACAAATATTCCAGACCAACAGGGTCTTATAAGTAGGCTGCCTAACGAAAACACAGTTGCCTCCAAACGGCCTTGGTTTTGAAGGACCCACAAGGCTGCTTATCACACTGCAAGGGGGAAGAGAACACAGTCATTGTTGGCGAGACTTTACACAAGCCAGCCTCCCTGGGTAAGCTGGTTTGCAGCTTAGCACAGAGGGAGAAAGTCAAATAGTCCTTGCGCTGAACAGCACCCTCCACTCCAGAACCATCCTCATGTTTTCCAGTACTTTAAGCGGGGCCACTAAAACTGGAAGTGATGGCAGTATTAGATCCTTCCCATTTGTAGCCAGATGAATGGCTGCCTGCCTTCCAGTGCGGCCAGCTCCTGGCTTTCGTTCGTTAGGTGTGTGCTGACATCATTAAAGAATTCCCTTTTTTTTTTTTTAAAGATTTTATTTATTTATTTGAGAGAGAGAATGAGATAGAGAGAGCATGAGAGGGAGGAGAGTCAGAGGGAGAAGCAGACTCCCCGCCGAGCAGGGAGCCCGATGCGGGACTCGATCCCGGGACTCCAGGATCATGACCTGAGCCGAAGGCAGTCGCTTAACCAACTGAGCCACCCAGGCGCCCTAAAGAATTCCCATTTTGAAAGCATCTTTTGCAAACTGGAAAGGTTACCAATGGCGAAAACTCTTTTGGCCGTAAAAAATAAACAATAGTACTTCCTGCTCAGACAGAGCCCCTAAAATGGATGTTTGGCAACACATCTGGCTTTTCTACTTAAGAGCCTGAGCTTCCTGCTTTAGTGTGACTCTCTATGTCCACACCGACATGCAATGGCCTCAAATGCTTTATCAGCAATCCTCACGGAAGTCTTGTGTACTGCTGTGAATCTTACTGATTTCAGCAGCACAACGGCCTTCTCAAGATACCCGGCCAAGTGATACGAGCGAAAGAGGGCATGGAGTTCACTGGTTTTCCAGAGGACCAGTCTCACAGCACTCGACGGAGGGTAGAAGTTCTCCTTACTTTGAGACTGAGGGAAAGTCAATTATAAGAATCCATGATAAGAAGGATTCATTCCTGACTTAGCTTGATAGACACCTGTGATCATATGAGTGGAATAAATCCTTCAATTCTAGGCCCTACAGACATCATTTTGGGTTCTGCTGAAGACCTGCATGCTTGTCTAGCCAAGCAGCCATTTTTGGAGCCGAGAACTGGATCAAGACACGTAAGTAAACTTCGCCAAAGCTGGAAAAAGATTTCT